CATTGTACAGTGGCATTAAGTGCCGTAATGTGCACCTCTGCCTACCCCTTAATTATGTTATTAGCTCTGTGTATCTCAATAAGCTCGCTTATTACATGAGACAAACAGCAATTTCCCTTTTTAATATAGATAACACTGGTTTCTACATACTTTCGCATTTATAATATTAGAATTAAGATAACCAATAATAACTAAATGTACTTTAAGCGACCTCTGCTCACCCTTCCGGGAATTACCGAAATGATATCATTGTAACAATAAAAGAAAGCCCTTTTATTCTCCTCTGGTTAAAAATATACAAACTATACGTAATAAGATGATAAAGATAAACAGTAATAAGAAAAAGTCCCGTAGTTTAAAAAGTATCGCGTACGTAATGCATCTTCTGTTGGGGAATTCACCAATATTTTAAACTTATGTAGTTAAAGACGACTATGTAGTTAATTCTTTTATATACTCTATGGCTAGTAAAATCAGTTTTAGATCGTAATCATTGTTTTTATCAAAATTTTGATGGCAAATACTATTACTAACATATATATTTAAAGATCTTTGTTACAACGCTACACGGACAAAATTTAGTCTTCAATAAATGATATTATTTATTTATCAGTATCAGCTGTTTGACAAGACACTTGATATAGTCAAAGTCAAAATCATTTATTTCAATTAGACCAGACAGGCAGTTTTGAACGTCAACAAAAAATTTTTATAGGATATAATTTTTAAACACTGCGCCCATTTTTATAACTTATTAAGTCTCATCCAATATAGAGCGAGCCTATTGCTATACATGGACACGATTTTCACATTCGAAATTTTGAAAATTAAATTCAAGTTTTTAAAAGGAATTATCGAAGAATTGTCATAAATTCTTTTGCTTGCTAACGATAACGAGTTATGCGACTCTGAAGTCAAACCTGAAACGAGAAAAACAAGAATTTCTTATCATTATAATACCTTCATGATTTCTGTATAAATGTATGTACACCACGAAGTCTGCTAACCCCTTAAATTTTATATATCGACTGATTTACCCACAGTATTGTATGAAAGACTGTTTGTATTGTATGCTCTGATCTCTTAAATAAAAAATGGAAATAATTTGAGATAAATAAACAAGTATTATTAATTCTTTAAGTTTTGTTTTATTTCATATTTATACGCCGTGAAATCTAATGTTTTTTTTTATGGCATAAGCCGGTAAACGAGCAGATTGATCACCTGATGGTAAGCAATCGGCGTTGCCCATGGACACCTGGAACACCAGAGGCATTACAAGAGCGTTACCGGCCGTTTAGAGATTCGGAGTTTGAGGATCGTTGTGGATTCAGGGATTGGGGAGATTGGGGAAGGGGAGGGTAATTGGGCCTCCGGTAACCTCACTCACACGACAAGCCGGCCCATTCGTGCGAAGTATCGCTCTCCCAAACTGACTATGTAAGCAGTATTCTTGCACGTGCCACCCGACGACAAATACATGGCGTGATGTTTTGATAATGTACATACCTACTATGAGTTCGTATGCGCTTTCGAAGTTTGCTTATTGCAATGGTTCACCAGTTATTTTTTGTTTTAAACATTGTATTTGTTTGTAAAACTATTGTATTACCGAGACAGAATCATTTGCTTCGGAACGAAAATGAAATCGATTTCACGGTGTACTTATAGCTTCTGTCAGCTGTTTCACTCACGTTCCCGTGGAATAGTGATAAGCCTCGAACACAGGCGTAAGGTTGCAAGCCTTTCAATCTTCTACCGGGTACATTTCGGTGAGTGTGCGGGGGAATTGCACAACTTGATTCCCCCTAGTCCTTTCCATCTTCGTACCATAAGACAATCGGCGAAGCGTCACCGATTCATGGTAGGTGTTCCGCCCACACGCACGAAGCGCTTCGCATCAAGCTTCCTTGTGCGTACTGTTAAGGAGTGGAATTTTTGCCAGAGTGTATTTCCTGAAGGGTGGTGTATTTTTTTTTATAGATACTGGATAAGGTCGACATTTGGCCACCATCTCGCCTGGTGGTAAGCGATGATGTGGCCGACGATGGAGCACGCCTACCTATGAGCAACCTGTTCACTCGGGACTTGAAGACACCCAATTTATATTTGTCGGGAAACACAGATCCCGGTAAGGAGTTCCATTCCTTAGCTGTTCGCACAAGGAAGCTTGACTCTAAACGTTTCGTGCGAATTGGTGGAATGTCCGTCATATAAGGGTGGTGTCCTGCCGTTCGTCTGGTAGATCAGTGAATATTTTATCATCATCATTAATACTAGACAAAAATAAGTTAGCTATACCGCAGTTTAGACTGTCTAAGGTACAGAAATCCTTCATGGGGTTATGTATTAAATGCAAAGTCAAAGTCAAAGCATTTATTTCAATTAAACCATAGTTTGGTACTTTTGAAACGTCAACAAATACAAAATAAATAATAGTCTGTCAGTCAGTCCGTCAGTGAAATTAGGTGAATCGAATGGAGAAGAACGAGCAAGAAACTCTATTCGTTACTCTTTTAAAAAATTATGTATGCTTTAATAAAATACCAAGCAGCATACTAGATCTCAATGGAAGTAAATTTAAAACATATATTAAGCGCGAATTATGTAATCAAGCTTACT